TCTCCCTTCCTTCCGCCGCGCCCTCAAGACATGGCTATTCCAACAAGCGGGACTGGCCTAGGGCAATTTTTAAGAGGGGTTTTTAGAGGGGTTTTTAATCATATTTTAATCAGACAATTTAAATATTTCATTTTAATTAATTTTAATTTTGTAATTGTATTGGTGTTTTTAATCGATTGTCAGCCGCCCTGAGTCCGCAGGGAGAAGGGCGGGATATAAATTCGAATAATAATAATAATAATAAATAATAAATGGAGAATTACCTTCTGTGGGAGATGGCTTGAAACTACCTTTGGTAGGTATTTCACAGGGATGAAAAATCACTTGTTGTAAGACAGCAGGGCATATTGTAGAGAAGGTGGATTCCATTATCCTGGTATTGTTTGATATTCCATACAGAGAAAAAATATCTTCAGAAGATATGCACTAAAAGAGAATGAAAAAGCTATGTTAGTTTAACAAAGAAAATGAACACCCTTACAGCAGAGAGATGCAAAAACATTTTTGATTTGATTGTCATCAACTACATAAAAAATTATCTTTAGAAAGGCATCTGAGGAGAAAATTCTCATTATACTTCTCAGCGTCCTTCTGAAAGGATCTAGGAACCTTGGCAAGCTCAATTTTATTTTAATTATAGCTTTTAAAGTGAATCTTAAATATTTGCAAGGAAGCTTTCTTTGAACTCGATCCACTTTACCATTCCCTTTTTTTTCATGCTGCAAATAAGGAAAATCAAGACACCAGAGTACACGACATGATGGGCACAGTCTTTAGATTCTCAAGGCAGATATCTCAGCGATACATTATTCCATTTATTATTATTTTGTTCATTAATTTATTCCGCTCAATCTAGAATGACTCATTTTACCCACTTGCTCCTATGCAGAAAACTATGGCAGTTTGAAAACTGCACTTCATCATGATCACATGACAACCCCATGAAGTTATGGGAACTCATGTTGCATGCTAAGGCTGCTGCAGTTTAGATTCCAAACAAGGAATGGATAATAAAAACTAGATTGAACATAATTAGCAAAGCTGTATTGATCAATTCCATATATTTACACAGGGAAGTCCCTTTCCTGATCTGCCATGGTGGAACAAAGTAGCAGAAGTGAGCCATTACAAGTCCATTTGCAGTGGATTGCTTTTGCTGGCCAAGTTGTATAGCCTTCAATCCCTCCCTCTTCCCCTAGTGAGGTTTCTTAGACAGGTTTTTGGGGGAAATAAGTCAGGAAATGGCTGCATAGTTTCAGCAAAACAAGATTATATATTAGTAAGAAATACTATTACTGGTAAGTGTAAGTCAAAAGGAGCAAATCATTATCCAATTGGGATCAGATCAAAAAGCTCTTTATTATTTGTTTTTGTTAGTTGCAAAGTCGTGTCGGACCCATCGCAACCCCATGGACAACGTTCCTCCAGGCCTTCCTGTCCTCTATCATCTTCTGGAGTCCATTTAAGTTCACGCCTACTACTTCAGTGACCATCCAGCCACCTCATTCTCTGTCGTCCCCTTCTTCTATTGCCCTCAATCTTTCCCAGCATTAGGCTCTTCTCCAGTGAGTCCTTCCTTCACATTAGGTGGCCAAAGTACTTGAGTTTCAACTTCAGGATCTGGCCTTCTAAAGAGCAGTCAGGGTTGATCTCCTCTAGGACTGACCGGTTAGCAAAGAAAGGGTCCATGGTTTTAGGGAAAATATGAGGAAGACAACTACCTTGAGTAAACAAGGTTTTGTGGGCTGAATGAAAGTGCAGTTCATTCACAGTTCGGGCCATGTCTCTCTTTTCTTTTATTTCTGTATTTAGGAGATACTTTTGGACAATTGACAAGCAGATCAGCACAGAAACCTATTTTGAAATGAACAACTTTCACTGGATCAGCCTTTCCAAAAGCACATGAATAAGAAAGAGATATAATCAAGTGACATATAGAGGTACATATAGAGTGTTTGCTTGAACTGGAAGCAAAACTCTGTAATTGAAATCCTGTGTATTTATGCTCCTAATATTTTATAAACATGTTATAATGTTGTATTTCTGGAGACAAGATTTCATTAAAATGTGCATGAGTTACAGTATGTTATGCTTCATGCTTGTTTATACAGTTTCACCCAAATTGTATTAACGCTATGAATGCTTTTGTTCTGAAGCTTTATGAAACAATACTCTTCCCTGCAAAACTTGAATTGCTACATATTTATATTATGAAATCCTCTAATCATTCAATTATAATTTTAAAGCATTCCAGTAATAGTTATTTAATCTCAGGAACAGTTAATCTCAGAAACAGAATATGTGGCAATATTGACTTGTTTGATTAGAGAAAAGACAGTATCTACATTTATTGGTGACTAGAAACCTCTTATGAAATTTTTGGAGAGAAAAACATCAACTTATATTTTATGGTTTGATTATTAGGAAGGGTAGATTATAGAAAGAGAATCATAAAGTTACTTTAGCGAGAGAGAGGTTAAACTATCATTATACATATAACTGGTGTAAACAAGATTGGATGCCATTTCTAACAACAACAACAACAACAACAACAACAACAACAACAACAACAATAATAATAATAATAATAATAATAATAATAATAATAATAATAATAATAATAATAAAGTTGGAAAGGACCTTGGAGGTCATCTAGTCCAACCCCCTGCTCAGGCAGGAAACCCTATACCATTTCGGACAAATGGCTGTCCAGTTTCTTCTTAAAAACTTCCAGTGTTGGCGCATTCACCGCTTCTGGAGGCAGGTTGTT